GAGGTGAGGTAAGAGGTGAGGTAAGAGGTGAGGTAAGAGGTGAGGTAAGAGGTGAGGTAAGAGGTGAGGTAAGAGGTGAGGTAAGAGGTGAGGTAAGAGGTGAGGTAAGAGGTGAGGTAAGAGGTGAGGTAAGAGGTGAGGTAAGAGGTGAGGTAAGAGGTGAGGTAAGAGGTGAGGTAAGAGGTGAGGTAAGAGGTGAGGTAAGAGGTGAGGTAAGAGGTGAGGTTAGAGGTGAGGTAAGAGGTGAGGTAAGAGGTGAGGTTAGAGGTGAGGTAAGAGGTGAGGTAAGAGGTGAGGTAAGAGGTGAGGTAAGAGGTGAGGTAAGAGGTGAGGTAAGAGGTGAGGTAAGAGGTGAGGTAAGAGGTGAGGTAAGAGGTGAGGTAAGAGGTGAGGTAAGAGGTGAGGTAAGAGGTGTGGTAAGAGGTGGGTAAGAGGTGAGGTAAGAGGTGAGGTAAGAGGTGAGGTAAGAGGTGAGGTAAGAGGTGAGGTAAGAGGTTACACAACAGGTGAAACAACATATGATGCAACAAATTCGAGGAACCTATAAAATAGAGACACTTTTAACATTTTTTATTTGTGTTAACACTTCATAGAATTTTCTTTAAGCTTTTGAAAGCAATTTTATTGTCTGGTGAATTTAGCTGCAGGGGACAGCCGAGACCCGGTTAGCTTATGTGAATCAACGCTTCCGCCTCTCTCCCCACATACCTCCCCCCTCCCTCACACACACAATTAGAAATAAGAGCACAGTTGATTTATATCTGGGACATGGCGGGGTCGAACGTGTCTTAGAAAATTTATTCTGGACACACCCCCCACCCCAAACTTAGACTGAACACCCCCACCCCACACTTAGACTGAACACACCTCCCACCCCACACTTAGACTGAACACCTACACCCCTACCCCACACTTAAACTGAACACCCACACCCCCACCCTCACTTTGAACACACCCCCACCCCACGCTTAGACTGAACACACCTCCCACCCCCACACTTAGACTGAACACACCTCCCACCCCACATCTAGACTGAACACACCTCCCACCCCACATCTAGACTGAACACACCCCCACCCCAAACTTAGACTGAACACACCCTCATCCCACACTTAGACTGAACACACCTCCCACCCCACATCTAGACTGAACACACCTCCCACCCCACATCTAGACTGAACATGCCTCCCACCCCACATCTAGACTGAACACACCTCCCACCCCACATCTAGACTGAACACACCTCCCACCCCACATCTAGACTGAACACACCTCCCACCCCACATCTAGACTGAACACACCTCCCACCCCAAACTTAGACTGAACACCCCCAACCCACACTTAGAATGAACATACCCCCACCCCACACTTAGACTGAAAACAACCCCACCCCACACTTAGACTGAACACCCCCACCCCACACTTAGACTGAACACAACTCCCACCCACAATTAGACTGAACACACCTCCCACCCACACAATTAGATTGAACACACCTCCCACCCACAATTAGACCCTTTATAATGCCCGTCCTATCCATATAGTTACTACAGGACATGCCGTATATTGTTTGATACTTGAAATACGTACACAAAAACATATTGTTTGATACTTGAAATACGTACACAAAAACATATTGTTTGATACTTGAAATACGTACACAAAAACATACTGTTTGATACTTGAAATGTGTACACAAAATATATTGTTTGATACTTGAAATACGTACACAAAAACATATTGTTTGATACTTGAAATACGCAAATAAAAACATATTGTTTGATACTTGAAAAACGTACACAAAAACATATTGTCTGATACTTGAAATACGTACACAAAAACATATTGTTGATACTTGAAATACGTACACAAAAACATATTGTTTGATACTTGAAATACGTACATAAAAACATATTGTTTGATACTTGAAATACGTACACAAAAACATATTGTCTGATACTTGAAATACGTACACAAAAACATATTGTTTGATACTTGAAATACGTACACAAGAATATATTGTTTGATACTTGAAATACGTACACAAAAACATATTGTTTGATACTTGAAATACGTACACAAAAACATATCGTTTGATACTTGAAATACGTATACAAAAACATATTGTTTGATACTTGAAATACGTACACAAAAACATATTGTTTCATACTTGAAATACGTACACAAAAACATATTGTCTGATACTTGAAATACGTACACAAGAATTTATTGTTTGATACTTGAAATACGTACATAAAAATATATTGTTTGATACTTGAAATACGTACACAAAAATATATTGTTTCATACTTGAAATACGTACACAAAAACATATTGTCTGATACTTGAAATACGTACACAAGAATATATTGTTTGATACTTGAAATACGTACACAAAATATATTGTTTGATACTTGAAATACGTACACAAAAACATATTGTCTGATACTTGAAATACGTACACAAGAATATATTGTTTGATACTTGAAATACGTACACAAAATATATTGTTTGATACTTGAAATACGAACACAAAAATATATTGTTTGATACTTGAAATGCATACACAATATACATATCTTGTTTTATTACATACACCAAATAAATCTATTCTTTGATTGTTAAAATACGTACACCGTATAAATATATTTTTTTCTTTGATTGTCAAAATACGAACACAGTTAAATATACATTTTATTGTGAAAATACGTTCCGCAGATTAATATATTTTTTAATGTTGAAGTACGGAGCCTACACTATATAAATATATTGTTTGACTGTTAATATACGTAACTCATATGAAAATATATTGTAAATATATTATATTATATTGTAAATATATTATAAATATATTGTTTGAATGTTAAAATACGCACACCATAAGCAGATATAGGTGGCAAAATGCCACCCTTTGTGTATATGTTGCAGAAAAATAGACATTACAGTTTGTGCTCTATCAATCGTGAAATCTGTATAAAGTTAAAATGATAAAAACTTTTAATATATTTTTTTTACATCAGCGGCGTGTAGGCCAAACAAAAGCACTGGAGCTTTTAACAATTTGCATTAATTTGCATTTGTACCAGCTTAGCTACATGTATAGAATGACGGAATTTTTATAACCCGCCATTAAAAAAACTTACGAAAATAAACACTTTATTTATAGCCTAAATAAAAGAGAAGGCTCGCATAAGAAATCCATTATATAAATTAGTGGCGTAGCCAGGAATTGGTCATGGGAGGGGTTTAAACATTTTTCCAACTGTATACAATCCTATATATATATAGGCCTATATATATATATATATATATATATATATATATATATATATATATATATAGGCCTATATATATATATATATATATATATATATATATATATATATATATATATATATATATATATATATATATATATATATATATATATATTTATATATAAAGGGTGGGGGTCCATAGGAGGGGTTATAACCCCCAACCCCCCACCTGCCTACGCCAATGACATAAATACATTTTTTCAAGATTTTTTTAATGATAAAAGCTGCTAAGGAACTGCATGTTAATTTTCTCATTTTAGGTTTGCAGGTGTCTGTTTTCTAGTATTTGGATATTGTACAAATATTAAAGTCTATATTTAAATGATTATTTCTAAAGCCCCATCTTTGTTAGTTTGTCCCCTAATATCTATAGTTCTGTTATTTACATCCGTTACATTAAAAATAATGATATATGATGTCATTAATAATATTCCTCATAAAAGTCATTAAGCGAGTAAGATTTAGAAACTATTTGACTAATTAAATGGACTGATTGAATAAATATAGCAATATTTACGTTAACTTTTATGAACAAATCAATTAATTAATGACTTTGAATAATCATTGTTTAATCATATTTAATCATATTCTTGCATTGCGTTCTGATGGTTTTTTAAGTCGCTAATTTAAAATAGGAGAAAATTTGGGTACAAGGTTTAATCCCAATCCAATATTAAATAGACAAAAAAAAATTATTTTACTAATCCATCGGAAAAGTGCATACAATATTTTCGTAAATAAAAACTCAGTTCAGCATTTTGGGGGAAAAAAAAGTATTTTAAAACATCTAAGTGTAAAGAAATTTTTCATAAAGTGTCTTGCTAGACGTCGATTAAGAAATGTAACAAACCAATACGTTTCAAAGTAATACTTACATTTTATTACATAGCTATTGAAAACAGTAGCGCATATCATATGAGTGTATATGAAGGAAAAAAACAGTCTAACGGGTTGTTTTACAGGTAAGGTTTGATAGGGAAGAATATAAGCTGGCTCAGCGCAGTTAAAACTTATGTTTTCAGTTGTGAAAGTTCATTGAAAGTTTTGGGTTATTAAAATTCAGGTAAAAGGTATGTTTTGGGTTGTCCAAGTTTGTTAAAAATTATGTGTTGGGTTATTTCTGCTGAGTTATGAAGTGTTGTGTTAAAACTGACCAGAGGCCGTATTTCCTTATATGAATAGCAAACGTGTGTGAAAAACTGAGGCACATTTTCAAAAATACTTTTAAAGGGTACTTAGGCTCAGTACACATGCCAAACTGATTTTTTTTATCTACGTCGGCAATCCATTTGTCCATATGGAAAAACTATCGTCCCGCCCCTACGCGTTCTTCACTACAGATTCACCTATTTACGTAGTTACGGTGGGCGTGTTTTGACATTTTCCCGATCCTTTTTTAGACTTAACTGTTCATTAGTAAATGCATAACCCCAAATAACGAATAATAAACAGCCAATGGCGAAGTGGAAACCTCTTGCAGACTGCCCTCGTTTTCTGCTTAGGGTTTCTTTCAAAGTCGGCTGCTACGTCGTGTTCTGAGTCTGTGTAGTTGCGCCCTTCCTTTTGAAAGTAAAACTACATGTGTTTTTATGTTTTGGCAGATACCATTTTAAGGGCCGTGTTTTGCGATTGTGCGGGGCTTTCGTTACACATTAAAATTCGTGTGGGTTTGAAAACATTGAGGAGTTACGTAACTCAGTCTAAATATTAGAAGAGAAAACGTATTTGTGTTACAGGCCAGAATGACATGCAAAATAGTAAGGACAGATGTGTAGAGTGTAGACTAAAGCTGTTTACTTGCACTTATGCCGATGTAGATCTAGTGAAATAAAAGGTAATACATGATTCGAAATATCGTATACCATTTTAGACCGGCTTTGATCGTAACATTATATATATATATATATATATATATATATATATATATATATATATATATATATATATATATATATATATATTCTGGTATATATATATATATATATATATATATATATATATATATATATATATATATATATATATATATATATATATATAACAAACAGACCAGAGGCAATTTATTCTATCAAGGTGGAGATGCGACGGTCAAATTTTTCGGACCCCTATATATAGGCCTATATATATATATATATATATATATATATATATATATATATATATATATATATATATATATATATATATATATATATATATATATATATATATAAAATCAAAGTGGGTGATGTTTGTTTTTTTGTTTCTTTGTTACTCACTTCTATTAAATCGGTCCTTGCTGGGAAATTATTCTTCACAAAGTTTGCTGTTCACTCTCTTCTTATCAGGACAATTCGAGTCATCTCAATAATAGAGTTTAGAGTGACCGAAATCTGACCTAGAATGACCGCGACCTTATATAAACTCTAGATTTTTTTAAAGCGTTTGAATTAGATCGACCACTTGCAGATGCGACAAAAAGTTGATATTTCGTATGAAGATAGCTGTGGTGCCGTAGGCACCTGGAAATATACCAGATTCTCAGAAATGTCATATTAAGGGGTTAATAGGTGAACGCCTTTACTCCTTAACTTTAATTATTAAAGGGGCGTAACTGCGTCAGAAATTTAAACTTTTAATTTCCCCCGTTGTTTAAAGAAGAAAATAATTGGATAAAAGAAAAAAAAACTCCTTTACAATTAATTTATACTAAACGGTTTTTAAATACATGTGAAAGTAAATACAAATTAACACGTTTTCCCTATTATAAAGGGATATAGCTTTGCAAGGCATAAACTTTCAATTTCCCCAGTTTTATTGATTGTACTAAAAAAATTACGGCCTATAATTTGTGAATAAAAGAAAAATAATTAAATACTATTCCACATAATTTTCAAAGAGATGCGAAAATTAAACTATCTCTACCAACTAATATTTTAGAAGGCTACTTGTAATACCTGCGAAGTCCACTTTTTGAAAAAAAAAGCTGATATTATAGTCTTTTTAATATGTAGCAATCAAAGAATTACAACTTTTTTTTTTCAACCATCTGGCTATGCGGTGTATATGATTCGTCATGAGCGCATAAGTTACGCCCCCACCCCCACCCCGAACGAAATAGAATTTATATAGAAAATATATACTTTTACCAATGTCCACCCCCCATCCCCGGAAATTTTAGTATTTTAGTCCGCTCCCCCCCCCCCCGCCCCAGAAAGTTTCAAGTGCCTTCCCCCCTCCCCCACGGAGTCAAAAGTCTAAATATTCATCGTCACCCTAGCTAGTAGTAAACACAACCGAAGTCTCACACAAGATATAACAAACCCTAACCTAAAGTTAAACTTTGTCTTTACCATTACGCACTTACCTCTAGATCAGGGGTTCCCAACCCCGTGCCCGCGGGCGCCATGGCGCCCGCCGAACGATTCGTATGTGCCCGCCTCTCACTATTCGACAGAGACACAATTTATTTCATAAACATTATTGAAAGGTTGAAGGGGATGGAAATCGAAAGTTTGAGGGGGGGGGGGTGCAAATCGAAAGTTTGAGGGGGGGGGGGGGCGGGGTGCTAATCGAAAGTTTTAGGGGGCGGGTGCAAATCGAAAGTTTGAGGGAGGGGGGTGGGTGCAAATCGAAAGTGTTGTCCCCGGGTGACGGGAAGGGTCGCTACGCCTCTGGAAGGAGTTTGTCGATTTACAATAGGTGGTGCCCGCCACCCTACCGATATTTTAGAATGTGCTCTAGAGTAAAAAGAGGTTGGGAACCCCTGCTCTAGATGGAACTACTGCCAGCTCCGTATCGAGGCAACCGACTTAGTATATGCGGCGTTGTCTGCAACAAACAAATTGATCGAATTTACTATGCGGGGCTTAAAACCATTAGAGTTTATGTAGAGCTGTTTCGTCTGTTTAGAATATATACCGCAGTGTTTTAGGAAAAACTTGAAGGATTTTTTTAATCAGGTGAGTTGATCAAAGATAACGTTATTCTTATTAGTTAAATGCCTATGTGTCGTTTGAAATATACTTTCGCAGTATGTTAAGGGGTTAGAAGCATTGTCCGGATAAAAATTTATAATGTGATCACAGACGGATAATGACTGTCAATCTTTATCTCGCCATATATATATATATATATATATATATATATATATATATATATATATATATATATATATATATATATATATATATATATATATATATATATATATATATATATATACGTATAATGGTAGCGGACTAGGTTTCAGTGTCACGCTTGGGAAAATAAGTTATTTTATGGATCTCTATAATACTCACAACCATAGCGTGGTCGAGTCGGTAAAGCTCATGATTGCTAAACCGAAAAGTCTCGAGTTCTAACCCTCTTCCAGATGAACCCCTCTAGGAGAGACAACTTCTGCCTTGTAGTTTGTTCTTGGTTGGACAAAGGCTATGGAAGCAAATCCAAAAAGAAAAGCAGGCTGAAATCGGAGTCTATGCTCAATGGCCTTGACACGTATCCTAAATTGTGATAGAGGCGTGGTCGAGTCGGCAAAAGCTCATGGTTGATAAATTCGAAAAACTCTCGATTTCAAACCCTCTGGCAGATTAAGAACGAAGAAGAAGAAGAGGAACATTTGTATACGCTTTTAATTTTATTTAATTTACAATTTGAGTGTGTATATTTGTTTCAAATTGTAACTCAATTTTACCCACTTTCAATGCAGCGATCTCGTTCAAGCTTTCTAGATACACAAATCTCCAATGAAAATGCAATAGTATCTAATTTTTAATCTTATTAAGACATGGTTAGTGATTAAAAATGAAAATTAAAACTTACCCAATTCAAAGATAAAAGGGGAGATAACAAGATTAAATACTAGCAATAGCTCTATCACTTGGCCGTCGACAGTGTACAGTTTTGTCATGGTTGGTTGGTTTCTTGCCTGAGATCCCACCATAGACTAGATAGGGACAGTCTATTGCCTTTTATGGATAGCAAGCTACTGATTGAGTTTTTGGGCAAAATTTTTTGCGGTAGACTCTTATATGCTGTCGATTTCATAAAAAAACGAATGTCTAGAAAAGGGAGGGGGGGGGGGGGGAAGGGGGGCACATCTACCTCCCCCCCCCCCCCGAATTTCCTCAAATTACACAACTAGCAGGCCCAACAAACACAACTCCACAACTAGCCGGCCCAACAAACACAACTACACAACTAGCAGGCCCAACAAACACAACTCCACAACTAGCAGGCCCAACAAACACAACTACACAATTCGCGGGCCCAACATACACAACTAGCGGGCCCAACAAACAGAACTACACACTCGCGGGCCCAACAAACACAACTACACCCTAGCAGGCCCAACAAACACAACTACACAACTAGCGGGCCCAACAAACACAACTACACAACTAGTGGACCCAACAAACACAACTACACAACTAGCGGGCCCAACAAACGCAACTAGCAGGCCCAACAAACACAACTACACAACTAGTGGGCCCAACAAACGCAACTACACACTGGCAGGCCCAACAAACACAACTACACAACTAGCGGGCCCAACAAACACAACTTCACAACTAGCGGGCCCAACAAACGCAACTAGCAGGCCCAACAAACACAACTACACAACTAGTGGGTCCAACACACTGGCAGGCCCAACAAACACAACTACACAACTAGCGGGCCCAACAAACAAAACTGCACAGTGTGTAGTTGTGTAAATGTTGTTACTCTAAAACCGCTGAATGTTGCTACAGAATATTGTAATCACACTATGTTCTATTCAAAATAAAAGATTTAAAATAAAATAAAAAATTGTATAAAATTTAGGAAAACCATCTTCAATGAATGAAACTACATGTCAGAAAAAAGTATTAAAATGTTAAATCTGAATCAATCCTCACAAATCGATTCTGAAAACTGTAATTCTAAATAGAACATCGCAAGGCACACTGACGCTGTTAATTACATGAAATTGATCTTGGAATTATAACAGGGAGGGGAGAGGGGCTGACCGTAGAGGTGTATTGTCCCTGACCCAATTTTTATATTAACAAATTACATTTTTTCCATGTAAACGTTAACCACTAGTCATACAGATTATCATTCTTTGCTGTCCAGACTGGGAAAGTCTTCGCTTGATCCGACTTGCGAATAGTTTCCTTTTTATTTCTTTTCTTTCTTTACCTGTCGTTTCATCTCGTGTTTAATTCAAACTTCTTTCAAATTTCTTGGCCAATAAGTTGAATGGTGATTTGAATTCGTATCGAGCTGGGTTTTATAAGATGTGACTTTGATGAATCGATAGATCCGGGGTAACCAGATCAATAATTGAGACGACGGGTTGGAAACTCTGCCGTAGCGTTCTCTGGTGCTTTTGTATTTAATAAAAATAATCGCCACTGAGTCCATTTACATTTCTGTATAATTTTAATTTAGAATTCCGTTTCACGCACGTTGATTACACAAATTATTTACATCTACCCTATCTCGATATCCTAAATTATTCATATCCACTACGATGTTGATAATACATAGTACTAGACTACCCGTTATCCTTGGATAACTAGGTTTCGGGGGTCGTCCATAAAGGACGTCACGTTTATTTGATTATTTTTATCTTTCCCTTCCGTCCGTTCTGTCACACATCGTCACAAAAAGCTACACCCCACATTTAAAAGACATCACATCTCAGACATGTTTTTGTCTTTTAAAAACACCGATTTCTGCTGAGCACGGGTCTGACCATACTATCCCTTCTAATCCTAAGGACACAGGTGAACTCTACTTCACCTGCTGAACTCTACTTCAGTGTATCGCCAAGTCCAGATAGACAACTTTATCATTCACATCTAAAGGAAGTCACACCTCAGCTTACATGTTTTTGTCTCTTTAAAAAATTGATTTATTTCTGTAATATTTTCTGAGCTCGAACTTCATTTTAATAATAAATGAATAAGTTATTAAACCTGACGTCAGACTAATATTATTGAATTAGAACCAATTACGTGTGTTGTGATTTACACTTTGCATTTAGCTTTGTAATGTGTTAAACTTTCGAATGGGCAACATGGCCATTTCTTGGAAGATGAAAAGCGTTCACCGTTCACCCCGGGCGAAACAAAATTTATATACAAAATATATACTTTTATCAGTGTCCGCCCCCTGGAAATTTAGTCCGCCTCCCACACCGAAAATGTCAAGTACCACCCCCCCCCCCCCCCGCACCCCTCCCGGAGAAAATAATCTGGAAGAATTACTGAAACAAGCAATCTGTAATGATCTGTACAGATAGAAGTTTCTTCAATATAAAATTCCTACATGATGACAGGGACTAAAGTACAGTCAAGCGAGACCATTTAAAACTGTATGTACAGATGCCTCAAATTTGATGGTTACACTAGGCCGGGTTCAATCTAGGTTTGATTTCTATCAATTCAAAACGTTTATTCAGATAAATTCTAACTTTGTTTTCTTATTTGTTTGAAAGTACACCCCGTGTCGCTTACCAAAAACCCACAAAAGTTTGACAGGAAGTCTTAATCATCAGTCTTTGTTTTTCTTTGTATTATTATATTAAGTCAATTTGAACTTGACATTTTCAGAATGCGTCACTTACGCTTAGAAATCAAATATCAAACGTGTTAGCGATTTTCTAATGAATTTAACTAAATAGAGTTTTGTTTGATTCGAGTGTGTGACGATTGATGATTAGTAATTAGGAGTTGTAACAAATACCTAGAAGTTGAATCAAATACCCAGAGATAAAACAAGCTAACCTGAGTTGATACATTCATCCCAAATAGCAATGAGCTACCTAGGAGTAAATGCAACAAGATAGAGATGTAATCAGATCAAGGTTCAGATAGCACAACATCTTGTCTACACCAAAGTGTCTCAACCTCCAAGAAAACATGCCGGTGATGTCGAAAAAGTGCCAGCTAGGGGCTCTGGTTTTGGTTATTTTGGTTCTGACAATCAGGCTTTGCTCCAACAACTGGGTGGTGAGTCATTTAATAAATTTGTTTAATTAAGTTTAATTTATTAAATTGCTTTGCAACAAACTATTAAGAACAAAGATAAGGCGAAGAAGAATTTAAAACCGAAAGAGAAGAAACACTCCTAATTTATGCTACAGAATAAAAATCATTAGAAAATATCAAATGTATGCGAATTCGTCTCAAATGCCGATGCTGCAAATATGTTGTCCATGCAAGCGAAAACGAGCGGAAACGAGCAAATTGAAAAATGTCTTGGTCGAATTTGACAAAGGCTAATCAGTCACACAACAAAAAGATCAATAATGGTTTAACGGTTTCTGCTGAGGTGGTGAGGTTGTTATATATATATATATATATATATATATATATATATATATATATATATATAAATATATATATATATATATATATATATCTAATATATAAAGCTCAGTTCTGTATATAATGCATATGTTTGTCGTTGGTCTTGGATGAATTTAAGTGTTAGAAAATTATCGTGCGCATTTGTCTAAATTTTTGAGCTAAAAAATTACTATTGAAAGTGTTGGGAAATAATTTTCATTTTTCAAATTATAGTAATAATTGTCGGCATGTTCATTAAACACAAGTTTTTAAAAAATATCATCTTTTACAAAAATTCTAATTATGTCTTTATTTAGTCCTATAGCAATTACTTCCCTTTGATAAATTAGGAAAACAAAATTACTTCCCTTTATAAAACCATTGCATTTTTTGGAAAATAATTTACTTTTTAATTACTTTGTTTTGGTGTTGGGAAAAAAAAATTACATCATTAGCGGGGATTGATCAAGTGCAAATGTTGTAGGTATTTTACGGATAAGCTTGGAGTATTAAAATTGTTCATCAAATTGAAACAGGCGCGTTCGTTTAAGTGAGTGCAAAAGACTATGAATAAGTTGGGGTACTATAGTCGTTCATTAAGCTAAAACAGGTGATTCCGCCCCGGGCGTTTATGGTCGCGTTAGTGTTTTCTTTGTGTTTAGGTGGGTTTGCGTTAGTGGTTGCGTTTTGATTTGGTTCGTTTTTGTTCTTTCTTTTTTCGTTTTTGTTTGTGTTTTTTTCTTTGGGTTTGTATTTGTGTTTTTGGTTGGTTTTGCGTTTGGATTTGGTTTGTTTTCGTTTGCTTTTTCGTTGTTTTTTTGTTGGTATTGGTGTTTGTGGTTGGGTTTGTTGTTAGGTTTTTGTTTTCGTTTGCTTTTTTGTTTGTTTTTTCTTTGTTTTTGTATTGGTGTTTGTGGTTGTGGTTGGGTTTGTTGTTAGGTTTTTGTTTTCGTTTGTATTTGTAATTGTGTTAGCGTTATGTTTGCGTTTTGTTGTTTTGGTTGGTTGTGGTTTGGGTGGGCAATGCCGGGTTTATGATGATTACTAAACACACAGGTAATGGTCTTTAACAGAAAGGTTTTTCACAGAAGCCAGAGCAGGGCCTGGCCGGGACGACTAGTATATATATATATTTATATATATATATATATATATATATATATATATATATATATATATATATATATATATATATATATATATATATATATATATATATATATATATATATATATATATATATATATATATATATATATATATATATATATATATATATATATATATACATATACATATATATATATATATCTAATATATATATATATTTATATGTAATATATAAAGCTCAATTCTGTATGTAACACATAATATGTTTGTCGTGGATCTTCGATGGATTTAAGTGTTAGATAATTAAAGTCCTTATGGTCTAAATTTATGAGTTAAAAAATTAATATTGAAAGTTTTGGGAAATAATTTTCATTTATCAAACTGAACGTAATAATTTATGGCATGGTCATTAAACACACGTTTTAAAAAAAATATCATCTTTTACAAAAATTCTAATTATGTCTTTATTTAGTCCTATAGCACTTACTCCCCTTTGATAAATTAGGAAAACACAATTACTTCCCTTTATAAAACCATTGCATTAGTGGAAAAGAATTTACTTTTTATTGCTTTGTTTTGGTGTTGGAAAAAAAAATAATTACATAATTAGCGTGGATTGATCACGTGCAAATGTTGTAGGTATTTTACGGATAAGCTTGGAGTATTAAAATTGTTCATTAAATTGAAACAGGCGCGTTCGTTTAAGTGAGTGCAAAAGACTATGAACAAGTTGGGGTACAATAGTCGTTTATTAAGCTAAAACAGGCGATTCCGCCCCGGGCTAGACTGTGAGCACTTTGCGTTTATGTTCGCGTTAGTGTTTTCTTTGTGTTTAGGTTGGGTTTCCATTAGTGGTTGCGGTTTGATTTGGTTCGTTTTTGTTCTTTCTTTTTTCGTTTTTGTTTTTTTCTTTGGGTTTGTATTTGTGTTTTTGGTTGGTATGCGTTTGGATTTGGTTTGTTTTCGTTTGTTTTTTCGTTTTTTTTGGTAATGTTATTGGTTGGTATTGGTGTTTGTGGTTGTGGTTGGGTTTGTTGTTAGGTTTTTGTTTTCGTTTGTATTTGTAATTGTGTTAGCGTTATGTTTGCGTTTTGTTGTTTTGGTTTTGGTTTGTTGTGGTTCGGGTGGGCAATGCCGGGTTTATGATGATTACTAAACACACAGGTAATAGTCTTTAACAAAAAGGTTTTTCACAGAAGCCAGAGCAAGGCCTGGCCGGGACGCCTAGTATATATATATATATATATATATATATATATATATATATATATATATATATATATATATATATATATATATATATATATATATATATATATACATAATCTACAGATTAATGTAATTGGCTACAACTCTCAAAAAGAAATAAAAGCATTTCAATTAAGTCAAGCTGTTAAACAGAACAATCAGATCAACACACAAACTCCAATAAAATTTACTGCACCACCAACAACAACACACGAAGTTAAGCCTCCGGTTACTCGCACTCGCCCTTTCACTCGGGTCCCAGGCGAAGATACATACATCTACTCGGCTATAGCCAACATTGAATACGAGGAGAAAAAGAAGCAGCTGGAAGCTAAAAATATCACCAGCTTTGACCTGGAGCTGATCCTCACGACGCTTGATGCCACTAGACACGGTTACAACTGCTGCGTCATCTACCATGACCCCGAGTCGGTGACTCTAACCGTAACGCCGGCTAGCCACTACTTCAGGGAGTTTATTGTGGGTGGTCCGTCCAATGAAAAACTTTATGCCGCACGGCAATATGTCTGTCATGGAACAGTCTCTACTGCAAACAACATGCCGGAATATGTCACACTGACCTCGAGTTCCAAGTGCCCAACACACACGAAAGATTATCTGAAAGTCTTGTACCCAATCAAACAACCTGGCATTGCACTTTGTGGTAAAATAGCTCACAGTGGAGGTGTAGAACCTCAAAAAGCCATTGAATGGTTTGAAATGCAAAAACTTCTGGGAGTTGATAAAATTCTGATCTACGACTTGGGAAATCCCGAGGGTTTAACGAGGGTGTTTAGACACTACCAACAGGAAGGGATTCTAGATCTGCAGCCTTACGAACTTCCGGGGGAGCCGGAATCCCGATCACTTACAGAGGCGTACAAGCACACGGCACAGTTTAATTATGACGAGACTTTGGCGGTCCTGGAGTGTAGGCATAGGATGGCGGGCTATGATTACGTCATCAGTCATGACATGGACGAGATGATCATACCACGACAGGCAGTCGATTTAAAAACGTTTTTTCAGGTTAGATTTTTAATTTACTGTAAAAAATTAATTTTTTTATACGAACACACATTATCTATCTATCTATATAAAAAGCAACGTATGTGAGTCTGTGGGCGTTTGTCTTTCATCTGATCGCCATGAAACATTGGGAAGTTGTCTGTGAAAAAGAAATTTCAAATTCGTAACGATTTGATTATCCGCTATATACGTTATATAAAAAATAAAAGTCGATTGCGGTTTGACACCGTTCATCCGACCGCGATCAAACTTTGGGGAGTTGAAGAGGATACTCCAGAGAAGGGCTATCGCGTGAGCGATATTGCATCTACGTCTGTTTAAACATTGCGGAAGACTATGCATATGATTGTATTTTAGAGTCGTCACTAAACATAATCTGGCGCATCCGCTGGCGCCCCCGGTTGGGTGCGATTTGGCGTTCCGGGTTTTTAGTGTAGGTAAAGCCTTGCTCCAATAAATATGATCCAAGCGCAGGCATTGTTAACATTTAAAAAACTCAGTTTTAGAAAACAAGGTCACGCGTCTAAGAATATACGATTTGTAAAGCACTGATGAAACCCTCCAATTATATTTCGTCACATTTTATTTGTCTTTTATGCATTGCTACACCTTTCATATGATCTCCGTAAAACTTTGGAAAGTTGTTGAGATTACTCATGGTGAGGTTTCTGGGAAGAAAAAAAAAATTCAATTTCGCACGATCGGCACCCCGGCGGGTGAAATAGGGCGTTATGAGTTATCCTGTGAGCGCTATGGCGCCTATGTTAGTTTTAAACAGTGCGATAGAATCAATCAAATTGAATCAATCGCATTCGCCGGCGCCTGACAGTGTGCAATTTGGCGCCCCGGGTTATCCCGTTTGCGCTATAGCGCATATGTTCGTTTTAAAGAGTGGTAGAATATGGATAAGAGGAAGTATTACAGTCGTTCACTAAACGTAATCAGACGCATCCGACGGCGCCCCGGCAGGGTGCGGGTTTGCTGAGTACTGAAGGAAAAATGGTCCAATCAGTGACTTCCATTTCAATGTTGTGTATGACAGGAAAAATGGTCCCAGCATTATACTTTCTATGTTGTGTATGACAGGAAAAATGGTCCCAGCATTGTACTTTCTATGTTGTGTATGACAGGAAAAATGGTCCCAGCATTGTACTTTGTATGTTGTGTATGACAGGAAAAGTGGTCCCAGCACTGTACTTTCTATGTTGTGTATGACAGGAAAAATGGTCCCAGCATTGTACTTTCTATGTTGTGTATGACAGGAAAAATGGTCCCACCAATGACTTTGATATCTATGTTGTGTATGACAGGAAAAATGGTCCCAGCATTGTACTTTCTATGTTGTGTATGACAGGAAAAATGGTCCCACCAATGACTTTGTTGTATGTTGTGTATGACAGGAAAAATGGTCCAAGCATTGTACTTTCTATGTTGTGTATGACAGGAAAAATGGTCCCACCATTGTACTTTCTATGTTGTGTATGACAGGAAAAATGGTCCCACCATTGTACTTTCTATGTTGTGTATGACAGGAAAAATGGTCCCACCAATGACTTTGTTGTATGTTGTGTATGTCAGGAAAAATGGTCCCAGCGCCCGACGGCTTCAGCTCTTTTCTTCCACACGGAATTTTTTCTCACCACCTGGGAGCCGAGCAATCCTGAGGAACAGCTGATGGTCAAACGGTTCAGGTGAGTCAAGGTGGTTCAGGTGGTTCAGGTGAGTCAAAGTGGTTTAGGTGAGTCAAGGTGGTTCAGGTGGTTCAGGTGAGTCAAGGTGGTTCAGGTGAGTCAAAGTGGTTCAGGTGAGTCAAAGTGGTTCAGGTGGTTCAGGTGAGGCAAGGTGGTTCAGGTGAGTCAAAGTGGTTCAGGTGAGTCAAAGTGGTTCAGGTGGTTCAGATGAGTCAAGGTGGTTCAGGTTGCTCTAGGTAGTTCAGGTGTGTCAATGTATGTATTGTGGCTCTCATATATCCACATTGGTTTTGTTGAACAAATAAGTCACAGCGGGTTGGCTCCTGCAATGTTTCTTTTAGATCTTTTTTCCGAGGGGGCACTTGAAATTTCTAACATTTCTGGGGATGGGGCGGCCACTTGTAAAAGGATATATTTTCTATATAAATTCTACTTCGATTTCGGGGATGTGGGGGGAGGGGGAAGGTAGACGTTTTTCGGAATGGGGGGGGGGGGGGGGGGAGGCGGGCTCTGAAGAGATGCCTGGAAGAAACTTCTGGCTTTATCTTAAGAAAAACGTGATTATTCTTTGATACATTTTTTAAAATCTCATGTTGCTCTTACATCTATCTATATACTACTAAAAATCAAGTTTGTTTACATGTTTGAATATTTATTTGTTTGTTTGTCTGATTTTGTAGTGTAGATGATCTACGCTATATGCAGAATTGTAAAATAGTATGTGCGTAGAGAACAATTTTTGTTTTCAGACAGACTGTTAATTACAAATTTATTTAAAGACGATAATTAATTTATTAATTTATTCAAAGGTAGATTAACCACATTAATTTTAAAGTTTTAAAACAATGGCTTAACTTTGACTGAATAGTGACGTTTGATAACTAATTTTTTCGTTTGTTTGTTTGTTTAATTTGTTATTGGGGAGAATCAGCATTATGTGTAGAGCTGTAAAATAGGATTTTGGGTGGTAAATATTGTTCTTTCTTACAAATACAATCATGTCTGAGACTTGTCGGGGCAGTGGGCAGGTGAAGTAGAGTTTAGTAGAGTTATTTAAAATATAAAAAACGTCTTTAAGAATGTGGGTTCTGGTTTTTTTGGGATGATAAGTGCTGACAGACGTGATGTCCTTTTTGGATGACCCCCCGAAACCCACAGTTATCTAACTAGATAACGGGTAGTCTAGTATACTACTAAAACTCAAGTTTGTTTACATGTTTGAATATTTATTTGTTTGTAAGGAAACTGCTCTATATGGGGGGGGGGGGGGCTGTAAAATAGTATGTAGGTAGAGAACAATTTTTTATTGCAGACAGACTGTTAATCACACATTTATTTAAAGGCCTATATGGGAATGATAAGGTTGACTATCAGGACCTTGCGGGGCACAGGGTAGGTGAAGTAGAGTTCACATGTTTCTATGTTCTCAGCATATGAAGGGATAATGTGGCCAGAGCCATGCTCGGCCGGAATCGTTTTTTTTAAAAATACAAACATGTCTGAGACTTGGCGGGGCAGTGGGCAGGTGAAGTAGAGTTTAGTAGAGTTATTTAAAATATAAAAAACGTCTTTAAGAATGTGGGGTCTGGTTTTTTTGGGATGATAAGTGCTGGCAGACGTGATGCCATTTATGGATGACCCCCCGAAACCCACAGTTATCTAACTAGATAACGGGTAGTCTAGTATCTATTACAATTAGTACAATTAAATTTTACCATGCTAGTTTGAAAATGTGCCAATGTTGCATCGAAAATTTTTTTCAACTATTTGTTTAAATACAAGGAAGAGTTTTTCATAGTCTTCAATTTGTTTTTTAAAAAATCAAAATTTGAATATTTAGCTTTGATCTGGTGTGTAAAAATGTGTACTTGTAACCGTTGAGCTAATGAGTGACGTCATACAGGAACACCACAGTGCCAAGGTGGGAGTGCTACAAGTACGTGTACAAGCCGTCACGTGTCATCACGTCCATTACTCACACTGTGTTCTCTAGGAGTGCGTTCAAAACGTGAGTGATTTAGTTCATGACTTGTTTCGATGTACTTCCTCTACAAGAGTTACTCGAACACGTGAATATGAAGAGAGACTTTTTAGACTTTTATAAACGTGTTAGTAAATCCAGCCCAACAACTAATGCTGACAACAAAGATGTGCCTGTCTTGTTGCATTTTCAAACCGTTTGGTCTCAGTCCAGCTATTGCACTTATTTTAAAGATGTATGAATTAAGAGAAATGTTTTACATAACGTTTACCTTTATGTACTTAATGTTTGTTTCAGTGCATTGGTGCGCTTTTTTATTCTGTCTGTATGCTACGCGAAGAAGTTACATTAGAACTTTGAAAAAGTGTTAGGATTCACCAGTGGCGTAGCGAGGTCGGGTGTCACCCGGTGCGGCACTTAATGGTGTCACCCCCCAGAGGCGTTGCGACCCTTCCCGCCGGGGACAAACTTTCATGTTTTCGATTCGCACCCCCCCCCTCAAACTTTCGATTTGCACCCCCCCCCCCTCAAGTTTTTCTCTATATATTTTGCTAGTTTTTGCCTTGGTGTCACCCCCCTAAATGGTGTCACCCGGTGCGGTCCGCACCCCCCCCCCCCCGCCCCCGCCCCCCCTAGCTACGCCCCTGGGATTCACAATACATTCGAGATACACGCTAAACCTACATTGTTTAGTTAATCTAATCAATATATTTTATTATACTTGCACATCCACGTCTTGAAAGAGTTTAACGTCGATCACTCTAAAGAAACATATACTATTAACATTAAGTAAATAGCAATTTTAATTTAATAGTTGATTATATAATAGCGGTTTCTTAAACAGTAATTTTCTATTTAGTGAAATTTGCTGAATATTTCTAGAGGCTGTACTAGTTTAAAACGTCACACACTACATTTACTCTACGCCAGGATTAACATTGAACCTAACGAGGCCATCTTACATCATTACCGGAAGTGCCCAGAGGACACCTGGAAGACCTGCAGCGTACCTTCCAAGATCGATGACGTCATGACTAGGTACAAGGACCTTGACCCGAGGGTCGTCAAGGTCAGAGAGGTCACGGCCACCCCGCCGCTGTATAAACCTCGTCAGTGAAATCCACTCAAGTGGAAGACTGGAAGAAAAAAAAATCTACTTACGAAGAAGACTAGCCAAAAAAAATCTATTCACGAAGAATAGACAAAATAAACTTACCCACGAAGAAGACTAGACAAAAAATGTACTTACGGGAAGACTAGACAAAAAAGAAAGACATAGGAATAAAATCTACTCTCGAGAAAGACCAGACCAATGAAATAAAATCTATTTACGAGGTAGACTAGACAACGAAAATCTACTTATGTTCTCATACATTATAAAGGGTAGGGTTGATGTATGGGACCATCGAGTTGTACAGTATACAGGTTTACGTAGCTGCCTTGTCGTCGTCGTACTTTAGACTTTTGTGACAGGGATAGGGCAGGTTGACAAAAGTTCATGTAGCATATACTGTTGTGAACACACGGACACGCCTTTCTGGTGATCCGATGAGTGGCGCAACATACAAGACAGCCAACCACAAACGGGTTACAAAACAAGACTGAATGAAACAAAGACTCGTTGAAACTAAAAGAATGTAATAGTATCTGCACTATCTACACCTAACACAATCTATTCTAAACACAAAATACACAAGCTAGTAAAACTATAATACAGTGGCTAAAAACTAGTATAAACCTAACCATTACTAACCTTGGAGATCTGGACAAAACTGAGGCAATCACACACGTTTTCATACACCTTATATACCCTTTCATCAACTAGTACAAACCGGACTATTACAACTCACAGCACGAGAACTGAACAAGGACGAACGGGATAGGGTACCTAGTAACAACAACACTCACCCCCATTCATCCCCTTCTCTCGTTCACTACCAGTGTTTCTTCCAGACTTTTTCTCCGGGGGGGGGGCACTTGAAATTTTCGGGGGGGGGGGGCGGTAGACTTCCTTCGGGGGGGCGGACACTGTTAAAAGTATATATTTTCTATATAAATTATATAAATTTCATTGCGGTAAAAAAATTTCGGGGGTGGGGTGGGGGGGGGGGGGGGCGGAGAGATGCCTGGAAGAAACTCTGTTCACTACATCTACTTTTTTATATTTTTTTCGTTAAAATTCTGTTTGTCTTTTATTAAAACACCTCACAATTTTTAAAATTTAAAATAAAAATTTAAAAAAAAAACGAAGCGACATATTTCAATCAATTTAGAGCATACTTTGGCACAATACGGCTACATATCAAACTGCAGTGCACCCGATAACCCTTGAGTCACATGACGCATGCTTCTTAGACAGGTTGATTGATTTTCTATTTGCATTTGTTTTTTAATTTTTCTAACAATGCATGTCTATTGTTCTCTATTAAACGTGTCAAAACCTTCAGCCCCATCGATTTGTGTTGTGTGGAATCTAGTCTGATCGAAGCCGACCATTGTGTGCTTTGTGTAGAGGGTAGATGAATGCTTGACATGAAGTTGGTGTGTCAGAGTTTGAGCGATCTTTTGTTTAATCGTCAAAGGGAAAAAAACATGGTGGGCCCTTTGTTGATGTCTAGAAGTTCAATTATAAATGGATCCACTGTTTGAAATGTTCACAGGAAACCATACACGAGATGGTTTCACATGGGTACTCATGTTTATAGAATTTTTTCATGGAAATAAGAATATGTCTCGACCGTTTAGTACTTCATTTTTTATTTTCTCAGTTACATCGACAAGTGTATTCGAAAATAATGTGTTATTGTCGCTACGCTAAAGCTAGCTTAAATCCTAACTTTTAAGTTTTAGTCCTGACCATAGAAGTCCTGGTCCTGACCATACATGTCCTGGTCCTGACTATACATGTCCTGGTCCTGACCATACAACATGTCCTGGTCCTGACCATACATGTCCTGGTCCTGACCATACATGTCCTGGTCCTGACCATACAAAACCTGGTCCTGACCATACATGTCCTGGTCCTGACCATACAAGTCCTGGTCCTGACCATACAACATTTCCTGGTCCTGACCATACAACATGTCCTGGTCCTGACCATACATGTCCTGGTCCTGACCATACATGCCCTGGTCCTGACCATACAACATTTCCTGGTCCTGACCATACAACATGTCCTGGTCCGGACCATACATGTCCTGGTCCTGACCATACAACATTTCCTGGTCCTGACCATACATGTCCTGGTCCTGACCATACATGTCCTTGTCCTGACCATACAAGTCCTGGTCCAGACCATACAACATGTCCTGGTCCTGACCATACATGTCCTGGTCCTGACCATACAACATGTCCTGGTCCTGACCATACATGTCCTAGTCCTGACCAGACATGTCCTGGTCCTGACCATACATGTCCTGGTCCTGACCATACAACATATCCTTGTCCTGACCATACATGTCCTTGTCCTGACCATACATGTCCTGGTCCTGACCATACATGTCCTGGTCCTGACCATACAGCATGTCCTGGTCCTGACCATACAACATATCCTTGTCCTGACCATACATGTCCTGGTCCTGACCATACATGTTCTGGTCCTGACCATACAACATTTCCTGGTCCTGACCATACATGTCCTGGTCCTGACCATACATGTCCTTGTCCTGACCATACAAGTCCTGGTCCAGACCATACAACATGTCCTGGTCCTGACCATACATGTCCTGGTCCTGACCATACATGTCCTGGTCCTGACCATACATGTCCTGGTCCTTACCATACATGTCCTGGTCCTGACCATACATGTCCTGGTCCTGACCATACATGTCCTGGTCCTGACCATACATTGACCATACATGTCCTGGTCCTGACCATACATGTCCTGGTCCTGACCATAAATGTCCTGGTCCTGACCATACATGTCCTGGTCCTTACCTTACATGTCCTGGTCCTGACCATACATGTCCTGGTCCTGACCATACATGTCCTGGTCCTGACCATACATGTCCTGGTCCTGACCAAACATGTCCTGGTCCTGACCATACATGTCCTGGTCCTGACCATACATTGACCATACATGTCCTGGTCCTGACCATACATGTCCTGGTCCTGACCATACATGTCCTGGTCCTTACCATACATGTCCTGGTCCTGACCATACATGTCCTGGTCCTGACCATACATGTCCTGGTCCTGACCATACATGTCCTGGTCCTGACCATACATGTCCTGGTCCTGACCATACAAGTCCTGGTCCTGACCATACAAGTCCTGGTCCTGACCATACAACAAGTCCTGGTCCTGACCATACATATCCCGGTCCTGACCATACATGTCCTGGTCCTGACCATACAACAAGTCCTGGTCCTGACCATACATGTCCTGATCCTGACCATACAACAAGTCCTGGTCCTGACCATAGAAGTCCTGGTCCTGACCATACATGTCCTGGTCCTGACCATACATGTCCTGGTCCTGACCATACATGTCCTGGTCCTGACCATACAAGTCCTGGTATTGACCATACATGTCCTGGTCCTGACCATACATGTCCTGGTCCTGACCATACATATCCTGGTCCTGACCATACATGTCCTGGTCCTGACCATACATGTCCTGGTCCTGACCATACATGTCCTGGTCCTGACCATACAGCATGTCCTGGTCCTGACCATACAAGTCCTGGTCCTGACCATAGAAGTCCTGGTCCTGACCATACATGTCCTGGTCCTGACCATACAACAAGTCCTGGTCCTGACCATACATGTCCTGGTCCTGACCATACATGTCCTGGTCCTGGCCATACAACATGTCCTGGTCCTGACCATACATGTCCTGGTCCTGACCATACATGTCCTGGTCCTGGCCATACAACATGTCCTGGTCCTGACCATACATGTCCTGGTCCTGGCCATAAAACAAGACCTGGTCCTGACCATACATGTCCTGGTCCTGACCATAGAAGTCCTGGTCCTGACCATACATGTCCTGGTCCTGACCATACATGTCCTGGTCCTGACCATAAATGTCCTGGTCCTGACCATACATGTCCTGGTCCTGACCATATATGTCCTGGTCCTGACCATACATGTCCTGGTCCTGACCATACATGTCCTGGTCCTGACCATACATGTCCTGGTCCTGACCATACATGTCCTGGTCCTGACCATACATGTCCTGGTCCTGACCATACATGTCCTGGTCCTGACCATACATGTCCTGGTCCTGACCATACAAGTCCTGGTCCTGACCATACCACAACTCCACATCGGTTCCAAATCTCAACCTTGACCCAGCGATATCCTAAGGCACAGGCAATGTTCAGTCCTATCCGGGGATAGAACAAAACATGAACAAAATAAAACAAACTCCCATCATATGTTGATGTTTTACAAACTGTTTCTGCATATGTCCAGCACATTTAACACTAAAATATTTGAAATCTTCAATGGTTATTTTATTAGGATAGCCATGAACTCAGATGTTAGCTTTTAACCTTAATTGTGACAGTCCACAACCTCAAGGGAGGTGGTTGCTCTGTCCCAATTGCACACTTAAGTGGATGGATTTTTGTATGATGGTGGGATTTTAATTATAATCAATTTTTAATTAATGATTATTGTTACATATATATATATATATATATATATATATATATATATATATATATATATATATATATATATATATATATATATATATATATATATATATATATATATGTGTGTGTGTGTGTGTGTGTGTAAGGGGAGAACCGAGGGGTGATAATGTTATTCACTTCTTCTTCTTCTTCGTTCTTAATTATTAGTGTTGAAGGGGATCGAGATTTATCGAACAGTGGGTTTGAACTCGAGACTTTGTTTAAATTTATCAACCATGAGCTTTTTGCCGACTCGACCACGCCTCCAACACAGGCCATTGACTCCGATTTCAGCCTGCTTTTCTTTTTGGATTAGCTTCCATAGCCTTTGTCCAACCAAGAACAAACTACAAGGCAGCAGTTGTTTTAATTTTGGCGTTGTCTCTCCTAGAAGAGTGGCTGTCCCCAGCCAACGAGCCTCATCTGCCCGAGGGTTCGAACTCGAGACTTTTCGGTTTTAGCAACCATGAGCTTTA